AGCAAAGATGGCAAAGGTTTAAGACAATATAGAATCTGTTCCAGGTCGCTGTTAGCCTTTTTATTATGCTGAGTGCCTCAGTTTTAGAATGCTCTTACATGTTTCTTATTACAAAACTGAACTCATGTGATTAAAATTTTCCATCCATAGACACTTTGCCTTGTTAGTCCTGAGACTGTTAGTCTTAATCTCTTCTTCTCTTTGTGATGAAATGAATTGCTTATAGGATCTTTTGCCTTGGTTCTCTGGAAAAACAGCTTGGGAGATATTTCCTGAGGAGTTCTCTTTGCTATATTCTTTGGTGAAGCAGCTTGTGGGAAGGGAGCTCCCAGGTTGTTTTCTATCCCAAAAGGTTCATCACTTTTTTCCATGTGATTACCTGTGTTGGTTGACATTTCTTGGGTAAGTTGTAAACATTATGCTGTTTAATACTTTAGCCTGGTAATTACAAGAACTGAGTTGATTGACATCTCATGGGTAATTAAAGATTGGTTGACCAGTGGTCTTAACTTTGGTGCTAATCTTTTCTCTTCTCTTCCTCCTCTTCTTCTCCCCTTCTGTTCTCTGCTTGCTTTCCCTTTCCATCTCCACTTGACCAGATCATCCCTCCCTTTGCTGGGAATGTTTTATCTTGCCTGGGTAGATGAGGAAACTTCATTTTAGGCTCTAAATAGTACCTTTTCCTTTCACTTTTTTTGTCTCTTCCCTAATAACATCCCATTTTTTCTGTCCTCAAATGGAAGAAGTGACTAGATAAAAGAGCTGAACAGAATATTTCAAAAAGCACCTTGAGAAGACAGAAGTCAGTTGTTGTTATGTGCTGTCAAGTCAGACCCCACTCATAGCGACCCCTCCTTGGTTTTCCGAGGCAGTATCACTAGGAAGTAGACTGCCCAACCTTCCTTCCAAGGAGTGGCTGGTGGGTTTGAACTGCCAGCCTTATGGTTAGCAGTCAAGTACCTTAGGCACTACGCTATCAGAGCTCCTAAAAAAAAAAAAAAAAAAAAATCAGTTATCATAATGAAATGTGCAAATATCTGGAGTTAGAAAAATAAAAAGGAAGAACGCAGTTGACATTTCTCAAGCTGAAAGAATTGAATAAAAATACAAGACTTGAATTGCAGTATTTCAGGATTCTATGGGCAAAATACTGAATGACACAGAAAGCATCAAAAGAAGATGTAAGGAATACACAGTCACTGTGCAAAAAAGACTTGGTTCTGATTTAGATTTTTCTGGGTCAGTTACGTGTTCCATGATATATGGTATAGGAACTGTGTTCTTTATTTTTATATCTTAGGTATGGCCACAAATGCTAGCATATTGAAGTCCCAGTTAATATTAAGAGTGTGTGGCTGGGTGTGAGTGGATGCATGGGCTCGGGACTTTGTTATAGCATGTTTTATTCAAGAAATATCCTGTCATCCCCCTTTAAGAGACTGTATATGGTGCAGCGAGTTTCTTCATGTGATCTTTGCCTTGGTTCTTTAGAAAAACAACTTGGGAGATTATTCCCCTAATCCCTGAGAAGTTGTTACTTTGCCCTAGTTCTTTGGAGAAGCAACTTGGTGTTGGTCGTAGGGTTCCCAGATTACTTTCTTCTCCAGGAATTTCGTTACTTGTGGCTAGGGGATTCCCTGGGTTGATTGGCATTTCCTATTTAAGCTGTAAACAGTTTAATAATTTGATACTTTTGTGTGGCCTGGGCTGGTTATTAACAAGACCTGAGGTGATTGAAGGTAAGCTCTGGTGGTACAGTGATTAAAGCATTTGGCTACTAACCAAAAGGTCAGTGGTTTGAAACTACCATCTGCTCTGCTGAAGAAATGTAAGTCAGTCTGCTTCAGTAAAGATGTACTTCATTAAAAACTCTATGGGGCAGTTCTCCTCTGTCCTATATAGGTCACCTTGAGTCGGAATCAATGTGGTATAACAGTGGGTTTGTTTGAGGTGATTGACTTCTCATGGGTAATTGAGGATTGGTTGAGATCTGGTCTGATGACAGAGACTCTGCCTTGTAATGGATGAGGATTGGGGGATGTAAATTGTTGAAAAGTAGAAGTTTTTGAGATGTATTGGCAGAAGGAGAAATGCTGGTTAAAAGCTGAGTTGGCACAGTAGACCACAAGGGATCTGAGTTGTTCTGACGCTGCTAAACTGGTTATGAGCTGGGCCAGTGAGTGACATAAAGGCTAGAAAGCAGAGAGCAGCTAAGAGAGCCCATTAAATTACTACAGTGGCTGTGAGCTGGGTCAGTTAGTGGCACAGAAGCCTTGATGGTAGAAAGACCCAACAACAGAACTGTCAGAGGTCCTCACCAGTACGGAGCATTTATGCTTCAAGGGTTATCTTGCAAGAAGGCTGTCCTGATTGGCCAACTACGTCCTGAGTTGTATCCTGTTACTTTCAAGTTGCATCCTATTCTGAATTGTATCCCAGTAAGTTACATAAGTGTAACTACAGTTCATGAGTTCTGTGAGCCATTGCATTGAATTACACAACCCACTGGGGAAAAGAACAGTGCTGGGAGGAGAGTGAGTGGTTGGTGTCAGAGATGATGGACTGGCAAGGCAGCTGGGAGAAGTTGGAAATCTGGGATATATTGAACCTTCACTCCTAGGAACCAGCTTTGTGCTGATTTTCATTCATGAAGTTATTCATTTACTTTGTATGGTTCTTCATCTTTCACCTTTCATTTCCTTCTTACACTCATTGCTCTGCCATTCCACTGGCCATGTTTCAAATAGAAGCTGCACTGTTGGCCTCAGTCCTGGAGTGAAGATGACATTGGGCACAATTACAGTGCACATATGATGGACATGGAGCCTTAAGCCACTGAGATTTTGAGAGGTTGTTTCTCACTACAGAATAACATAGTCCATCCTAAACAATGCAGACCCTTTCCTGCACTTCACTCTGAGGCTTCTGCTTTCTTCAGGGTGAGTTTTGAACTCTCTGGACATCTGGTCACTCTGCTTTGTCATGTAGTCCTTTTTTCAGTGGACATTATTTTAGGCATTGGTGAAGAAAAGTGCTTTGGAATGAGAATCTTTCCTTCTAGGTGTGGCACCAATGCTTGATAGCTATATGGTCTTAGAGACAAATAAACCAACCTCTTACTGCTTCAGTTTTCTCCTGTGTGAGATGGAAACAATAGCAGCGTGGACATCTTGGCTATGCTGTGGAGATTAACGGAACTCTTTGTTTCGCACAGCACCTGCTTTGTAAATGTTACCTACTGATCCTACTATGACTAGGAGTAGGAGAGCTGTATTTATCAGCTTAGGCTAAGGTGTACTGCAGTAACACGTTACCCCCCAAACTCACAGTGATGTGGCCTTAAGCCCCACCCTTTTCCTCATCCTTTGTAGGTTGGTTGTGGCTCCACACCTTGCCCTTTTTCAGAAGAACCAAGTTTGAAGGAGAGCACTTTTTCAGAACATGGTGCTGTCATGGCAAAGGAAAAGGAGTGAGAGCTGGTGGACTCATGCAGTGCTTAGAGCTCGCACTGTCACCTTCACTCCCACGCATGGCCCAAGGCCAGTCACAAAGTCAATCCTGATTTCAGGGCCAGGGAAGTGTCATCCTGTTATGGAGAAGCAGATGGTCTGGCAACTAATGAAATCTTGCACAAAGGCCTATTTTATTATCCTAATTGCTAGGTTAGCAAAATGACTGAAATGCGTTTCTTCTTAAAAGAAGTTCACATTCCAGTAAAAACTCATTTAAGTCAAAAAATTGCAGTACATATTGATTAGGATGACATCTGGTTGGACAGAAGGAGGAGTAAGCAGCTCTGCCTACAGTTTTGGGGAACGAGTCCAGAGGTGTCGTAGGAGAACCCAGCTAGTGTTGAAGAGGTACTGGGCAGTAGTACAAAGTCCCTTGGTAGCACAAATGACTAAGCTCTTGACTGCTAGCTGAAAGGTAGACACTTGAACCCACCCAGAGGTGCCTCAGAAGATAGGCCTGGCAGTCTGCTTCCGAAAGGTCACTGCCTTGAGATCCCTGTGGAGCAGTTCTTTGCACACATCAGGTCACCATGAGCTGGAATCAACTCAACAGCCCAACGAGGCAGCAGTGGGACTGTAGTCTTGTGGGCTGAGATCCTAGCTAGGGGTCTGTGTAGCTTCTAACTGTGGCAGAGCTGCCATCATCACCTGCCTCCCTGGACCATATGGGTGGAGGCCTTTGACTGACAGGGTCATGTGCCTTACACAAGTAGAAGGTAAGGTGTTATCTTTGCAGAACTTATTTTGAAATTGGAGGGACTTGGATCAGATCCCCAAACTCCTCTGGGTACAGGGACACGGAATAGAGCACAGCTGGAGCCTTGGTCTAGGGGAGGCAGAAGCTGACTGCTCTGTGCCTTGATTGGTTTGCAGGGAGACGGTAGCGCCTCCTTTTCCACAGGCAGTAGGCTCTGCTCTGTCCTTTCTCAAATAGCAGAAACTTATCAGGGACATGGAGGTGGATTCTGAGGTTTTGGGGCAAGAGGGGTTCAGTACATTTTGACAGGTAAGGGAGAGTGTTGGTACAGACTTGAAGGCTTACAGGCCAGAAATGAATAAATGCAGAAAATCCAGGGAACCCAAGTAGAGTGAGATTGTGATTGTTGAGTGAGGAGGGAGTGAGAGGACAGGGTCCCTGCTGCACGGGCCTGGATCACAGTAAAGGATCCACGGCATGCAATTGCTTCTCCTCCCACAGGTCCTGGATGCAGGGAAACGAGAGGGCCTTTCATCACGGAGGACTGAAGAGGTCACCCAGGCAGCAGAGACCATCTGGAGATGAACTGACTTCCAACTGGCCCCGTGGCAGAAATTCAAGGCTGTCTGACTCTGGGGCCTTTACGTTGCCTGATCCTTCTGCACAGAGAGCAGGACTGGGAGAAGATTTTGGCTTAAGGAAGAGATGAAACATGGATATCCTGAAGACATTGATTCAGAAACATAAGGCACAAGGTGGGAATTGTTGGGGTCTGGCGAGGTGAAGAGGGCATGCAGGCTCCAGGGTCAGGTGAGAAGGCTTTAGTGGCCGCAGCTGAGTGAGGCGGCTCCTTCCTTCCACCGTGATCAGAGGAGCTGCTCCAGGAGCATTGTGGGAGGTCTGCTTTCTCACAGCTTCTCTTTCTTCCCTCAGGTTTGTCTTCTATGGATACTGACTGGCCCCCAAAGAAGAAGAGGAAGCCCAAAATGGTAAGCTGCAATTACTCTTTTTTGAAGTGTTGGCTCATTTTCCAGAGAATAAGCACGTGATCTCTGTGTTGGGAAGCTAGAAGGCAGACAAGACTTAGGCATTTCTTTCCTTCATGTCAGGTACTGTGTTAGGCATTTCAGCATGGTTTCTGCAATTTTACAGTTTAATTTTCTTATTGGAAAATATGTTGTTATTGTTGTTGTTATGTGCCGTCGTGTCAGACCCGACTCATAGTGACTCCTCCTTGGGTTTCTGAGGCAGTATCACTACGGAAGTAGATTGCCCCATCTTCCTTCCGAGGAGTGGCTGGTGGGTTTGAACCGCCAGCCTTCTGGTTAGCAGTCAGATGCCTTAGGCACTGTGCTACCAGAGCTCCAAGTTTAATATTAAGAGTCTAGGAAACAGACATAAGGAATATTTTTCAAAAACTGAGGTTATCAAAATTTACACATGTACTATTAAATTTGGGTGTTTGCATGCAAGGAGCCGCCCCTGGGCACAGGCCATAATAAACCAGCCCTGGGACCAGTGGAAGGCAGGTGTTTGCCCCTCAGTCAAGGCTGGGTAAGCAAGCAGGGCAGGGGAGACCAGGAAATGAGCAGGCAATGTAGAACAAGTAGGGGAGAGAAACTGGTTTGTCAGTTTGTCCTACTGTGGTTGTATGAGTGTTGGTGTGAGGCTGGTGGCTGTGCCACTGGTGTTTCAAATGCCAGCAGGGTTACTCTTGGTGGGCAGGTTTTAACAGAGCCTCTAGACTAAGACAGACTTGGAAGAAGGATGAGGCCGTGCACTTCTCAAAGAATTGGCCATTGAAAACCTTAAGAATAGCAGTGAAACATTGTGAGATATAGTACCGGAAGATGAGCCTGGTTCTGAGAGCACTCAAAATACGACTGGAGAAGAGCTGCCTCCTCAGAGTAGAGCCAACCTTAATGATGTGGATAGAATAGAGCTCTCGGCCCCCTTCTGGTGATTTGGCATGTCTCAAAATGAGAAGAAACAACTGCAAACATCCATTAATAATGGAATGTACAAAGTATGAATCTAAGACAATTGGAAGTTGTCAAAAATGAAATGGAATGCATAAAGATCGATATTGCAAAAACGGCAAGGAGGCCACATGTTCTGACCTCCTCTAATCTCACAAGAGGAAGACAGGATTACCAGCAGTAACCCAAGGCCTATTAC